TGGCTACTTTCACTTTGGACATACTTTGTGAAAACAAACATGGCTGACAAAGCGGAATCACCTTAATATGTTAGAACTAACTAACACATACTGGCAGATATCTTCGTTCAAGTTGTGTAAACAATACCTTCAGTAGTTTTCATTCATCAACTCATTTTTAGTGTTTTACACACATTTTAACAAAACATAGCTTCCAATTTTTATTTTATAAAAAGCGGCATCGCGAAAATAAGTGACAAATAAAAATTTACCTATTCCCTGCGGTAACATTCACAATTCTTGTTGTTTTTTATTTCAATTTTATAAGATTTAATATTTTTTTCTTATTTAAAGATTTTTTAATCAGTCCTTTCAACAGGCATGATAAAACGAAATGGTTTGGGTACGAGTTGATTTCTGTACATGTACTGTGATCAATTGAGGCTGTCTAAACTTTAGGACTAAACAGTATAGAAAAACAAATAGTACAACTGTAAAGCCTATTAAGCTGCAATGAATTATTATAAGTAATATAGCATCAAAAATTAGGATTCTTTTACCTTTTTCTGCCCCCGCATTCCTGTACTGTACCACGCAGTAAAAATGTCCGATTCCAAATTTCCTTTAAATGACTTCCGGTAAGTAAGCAGATAACCTTTACAAATTTTACCTGTTTATAAAAATTCATAGTGGATTTTAAATCTTTCTTTAAAGTGTCTACATCTACTTATTAAACAGCTTAAATAATATTTCCCATTTTTTTTGCATTAATTTCAACCAATAGAAATGCTGTATTCCAGTTTTGTCAAATCTGACCGGCAATTGAGGACGCAATAATTCGCCGAGTGGGAAGTTCAAAAATGGCTACTTTTTTAGGTCGACACACAGCCCCGACACACCCATCATATGAGACCTCCAACCGAGGACACAACTTGATTACCATTTTTTTACATGTTTTAGCAAAAAATAAGCATTTTGAGAGTATAAAATATTTTTGTCAATTGAGGATGGGCTCAATTGTCGGTCATGTCCTCACTCGTTGCTGTTATTCCTGACAAATGTCCTCAGTTGCTGGTCCTTACAAGAGCACACACACGCACAAACCTATGTTGCCACTGCTACAAACACCCCTGATACACATAACAACCGAATATGTTCTGTCCTAAATGTACGCAATCATTAACGCGAGGATGGCCTACGTGGACGTCAGTCTTACGATGGCCTTTTCTTTTTTTTTTATCAGTATATATACTATAGGACAGTGCGTTACTTTTGCGTATTTGTAATAAATGTGAAATTGATTAAAATGAATTAAATATAATTAGTTAGGAATTGATTTTTATGAAAATAGTGACAATGGAAGTGTTCCTTGACGTGTGACTGTTTCGGAAAGAGCGTGCTGGACGAAAATCAACATTTTAAAATAATCTTTGCAAATCAGGAAATGGTCGGCATAGGGTTTTCAATACCAAGTATGGTGTCCGCGGGCATTAATTACGGCCTGACATCGCCGTCGCATGCTGCTGATGAGCCTGCGGACCTTGGGATGCGGAATCTGGGCCCATTCCTCTATGATTGCATGTCCTAGCTCCTGGACTATTGTTTGTTGGACGTGGCATAAAGAAATGGCTTTCTGCAGCATATTTCAAGCATGCTCAATTAGATATAAATCTGGGGACCTCGCTGGCCAATCGATGCGGACTATAGTTGCCTCCTCAAGATAACGGTTTGTAATCCATAAGCCGACTGCGCCAGCGTATGTGCGTACATTGACATCTAAAATTTCATTTACGTACCTAACTGCCGGCAGTGTACCGTTTTAATGATATGTAGGTCCGTTTTCCTCTGAGCGCTTATTCCCGCCCACACCATGACTGAACCCCTGCCAAAACGGCGGTGTTCTGCAAAGCATGCTGGAGCTAAGCTTTCATTTGGACTTCTCCAAACACTAACCCGTCTGTCCGTGAAGTCCGCACAAAACCTTGACTCATCAGTCAAGAGCACCGGGGTCCAATCAATAACTGTCAATGTGACACGAGTCTGCGCCCACTCCAAACGCTCTTCAATATGGCGTTGTGTCAAAGGAATGCGAATTGCTGGCCTCCGTGACCTCAACCCAGCATCATGTTTCTATTACATGCACACCAGTTGCTTTCTGGGAGTCGTTACGTAGGGTCGTAGATTTAGAAAACCGTTGGCACCTGGCCTGAAGGAAAATAAATCGATCCTGGGCTCGAGTCGTTGAACTTTGATAAAACACTACTTAAGAATATTATAGACAAAATTTGGTGATCATCCATCTATTAGTTCTGTACAAGGAGACGTTTAAAGGTATTCATTTATAACTTTTGCGGCCCTTAAAAGGGGCCAATCAAATAAATATGAGCAAACTTGATAAAAGGCTACCTAAGAATGCTACAGACAAAGTTTGGTGATCACCCATCAGTTAGTTCTATAGAAGATGTCTTAAGATTGTTTTTTTTTTCTTTTTTAGCTCTAGAGTCCCCTAAAAGGGGCCAATCAAATTAAAATGAGCAAATTTGATATAAGTCTAACTAAGAATGCTACAGACAAATTTTGGTAATCATCCATCATTTAGTTTAGTAGTAATGTTTAAAGGTTTTCTATTTTTAGCCCTGTTGGCCCGTAATAGGGGTCAATTGAAATGGCATAAGCAAATTTAAGTGTGACTGTAACAAGGATGCTACAGACCAAATTTCAGGTAAATCTGCCCAACAGTTTCAGAGATGTCTGTTGACGCATGACGACGGAGTATCCCCCAGCTCACTCTGAACCTTTGGTTCTGGTGTGCTAAACGTGGGATTCGAGTACGTGTCTAAAATCTTCCTACCCAGTAAATTCTGTACAATACTACGAAGAAAGGTATCCTGTCATCAGCATTTTCATTCCGACTGTCAATTTAATATCAACTCTTGCACGAAATGGTTTGCATTAATTATCAATGTACTAAATTAATGTATTATTTACGTTGGTTGTTAAAAGCATTTTATGTAACAATTTAAACCCTATTAGTTGCAGCCCATATAAATACAAGTATGATAGGTCACGTGAAATATTGAGAAGTTAACGCCAGATACTTGTTTCATGAAAGGAAAAAGTTATTAACTAAACAAGTACTGTTTCTTGTAAACTGCAAGGTTTGGACCACCATGTTCTGTTATAGTCATGAAACATCAGCAATGACTATTTCCTAAATAATACTTTCTTTTTGTAGTGTTTTCTCAATTTTACTCAGGAACGCTGGACACCAGATCGCAGATTTTTTTTCCGATTCTGTGTGGCCATCTTTAAATACTTCAGTAAACTAGGATTTCAATTTGTCACGATTTGTTACATTCAATTTCTGGCGGTATATTTAACATTGTGCCAGAATTGCCCCGGACAGCTTACCGAGAAAGTAGATCGTCGGGTCACGTTAAGGCGGGCTCGTTTTCATCCTAGGGCCACAATTCATGCAAAATTACCTAGCAATGCTTTTTACCAACGATACATAATCCGTTTATTGTAATATAGTTCCCCCATTATATTACTCAAACATGGTGGTTCATGTCACCTTTGTAGGGGTTTACAGAAAATCTAATGCATTTTTCTATTCAAGAAATGTAAAATTAGTATCCCTTCAGGGCATTCCAAATTTTGACCCTCCGCATCGATTTATTTTACTTTAAATTTAAGGATGCCTTTTTCAATGAAGTTTGGTCAAAATCTACAGTGAGGTTTAAGAGATGTAGTAAGGAACGATGAGCAACAATGGACATCATTCTTTAATAGCTCACCTACATCGCAAGCATTTTGTACTCGGGTGCGCTATCATGTAGATTCAAGATCAGACACTGCATAAAAACCCTTGTTCGGAAAAAAGCTGTTTCTGTTCCAACGTTTGTATGATTAATTCCACGGGATCCATCATGGGGTTAACTCTCTTTTCCAGTTTCTTAGCTCTTTATAGGTGGACAATGTAACAATGTAGTGATACTGACGTTATACATGTTTCTTCCAAAGTTAATCTCTTAACTGATTCTGCAAGATACTCTAAAATTACTACGTGTAGTACGAACAATATTCATTTCAAAGAAAACATAACGAAGCAAATGATTCTGATGGACACTGACTTTATTGTTTACAGACCAGAGTGTACAAAACTACATGAAATTACAGAGAAATGATGATGATATAAAAAATGTAATGATACAATGATTCTTGAAATTCAAAGAGAAAATAACACAATAAAATTTAAGAATTTATGTTCTATAGCGTTAAATTTCCTCATGATAAAATGAATGTTAACAATATTGAAACACAAAAATCAGTATTAAAATTTTCATTTTTACAAACAAGTATTTGTTCAACAAAGGTGAAAAATTCAAAGTTCAAGAAATTTGATTTCTCAAGTCACCTTTAACGAGAATGGTATCTTATCACTTATTTGATCATTTTAATGATCTATTTTATCTTCACTAATATTAAAAAGAAAATAAAAAACACACTTGAAAACACCAAGTAACAAAATTTTACAAGTAAGTCAGAATGTAAGTAAATTGAATCTTGTCTCATGAATCTTAAGTTTTTAGCAGAATGTTGATTTGATCTGTGACGTGACGAATACACCTTGCCATATACTTCGTACAGTATGAAGGTAATAGCCTCGAGGACAACAAATTTATTCCATGGCCTCTTCCTCCTCCTCAGCTTCAACAACTTAAAATAAAAGAAAACAATAAATCTTAAATAAAACATTACAAAAGTAGAATGTTTACCATCTTCCTCCACAGGATGCATGTGCTTATTATAGCAAAATATATAATGATGTACAACATATTTACTTATATTTGCTGATTAAGGTTACAACAGCATTATATACTGGAAAGCGACTTTGTAATTTAAACTATTTTGGCACATGCTGGCAATTTTAGTTTATCATCAACTTATCCTACACTATACATAGTAACATAATGTAGCTATTACGGTATCCCCTGTATAAGCCCAAGTCTATGGCACAGGCAGGAATGATGCTCTCAGGAAACGCAGAGAAATGCACTGAACTCGGTAAACTTTAACTACTAAGCCATGGTGGCCCAATCAAGAAGATAATCATTGGTGTTATACTAATACATACTGTCAGGATCAACTCCACACAGACGGAGACAATGTTGACGTTCGGATCTGGTGTAAAACTCATCCTTCAAGAATAGAGGGAACTTGTCACGCCAGATTACTATTGCGCACTTTGGATCGGCATTCCTAAACAAAACATAATCAAATTTATAATTCCACAACATGAATGGAAACTTATATTTCCTTTAGTTTATTTTTGGTTTTTAAATTCTAAAAAAATTACAAAATTCTTGGTAAGGATAATTCCTGAAAAGACCACATATAATCGTCAGTTGATTTGCAACAAGAGCTTTTGGTAGGACAGTATGCTCATCTACTGTCAGTGCTTAATCCAAAATCCAGTGACAGAGCTATAATCTTGAAATATTAACTCCAATTCTGAAGACATGTATAACTGTTTCCTGTTACAACCATGGTGAATAGTTAAAAAGATAAATGTTACACCCAACACTTTAAATAGGAAATTTCTGCGCTAACAAAGGGCCATAAATCACTCAAAATCCATTGCCTGAAGACGTATGTTGAGTTTTAACTACCTTCAGAAGTTTTTGAAGATTAATGTTGCATGCCACTAATATTAGGAATTTTCTTGATTCGCAGAGAGGATTTTCTCAAAATTCATGCTACCGTTATGTGCCTTGGACAGTGAACTTTTAGCCATCATTTACGTTACAATCAAATATCTTTGATTGATAAGATTTAAGTTACACAAGAAACTGATTCGAAACTTTAACCAGAATAACATTAACAACCAAGCAGGTATGAAAGTCAAACTTTGAATAGTTGAACTAACAAGAGCTGTCGGTAGGACAGCACGCTCGACTATTCTAAGTGCTTGATAGTAAAAGAGCTTTGATAATGTTAAATTTTTTAAGTTCACAAAAGGGCTAATTTTTTTTTATAAATTCATGTTATAGGCCTTAGAGAGGGTCTAATTATACAGTATTGGCTTGACTATTCGGAAGGAAATGTCACAAGGGTGTTTTATTGAGTATAATAATATTAATTACCTATGAATACATAAATTTGACAGAAAAGGTACAAAGGCTTGTTATTAAGATGTTTTATCAAGTAAATCACTGCTTTATTATCATGAATGCATAAAATTGTCCCAAAAAAGGCACAAACCCTTCAGTAATTGTTGATATAACAGCTTACAAGCAAAACTTTACCATGAATTTCTAAGTTGAAAAAAGGGGAGAAAAATCAGCCTAAATGCAAGATAGAATTATGGATCTTTGTCAGTGACCTACAATTATGACCCTAAATCATATGTGAAGTTTTAAATAAATATCTTTAAAAGTTATTGAGATATGTAAAACTTGCATGTAAACATTAACCAAGAGACTAAGTAGAAAAGGGGATATGAATCAGCCTTAATGCAAGATAGAGTTATGGAACTTGGTCAGTGACATACAATTATGACCTTCCTATTATGACCCTAAGTGCATGTGTAAAGTTTCAAGTAAATATCTTTGAAAACCTTTAACCAAATTTTTAAGTTTCAATGGGGCAAATAATTCTGCAAATATTGCAGGCAGAGTTATGCAATTTTGCAAACTGATGTACATTGTTACTATAAAAAAGTATTTTAAATTTCAATTGAATATCTCAAGCAATAATTGAGATATTTGACTTTACAAAAAAACTTTAACCAAAATTCTAAGTTCCAAAGGGGCATAATTTTGTCAATATTGTAGGCAGAGTTATCCAACTTGTCAATCTGATGTACCTTGTTACTATAAATAAGTATTGTAAGTTTCAATTGAACATCTCAAGCAATAATAGAGATATTTGACTTTACAAAAAACTTTAACCAAATTTTCTAAGTTAAAAAGGGGCATAATTCTGTCAATATTGTAGGCAGAGTTATCCAACTTGTCAATCTGATGTACCTTGTTACTATAAATAAGTATTGTAAGTTTCAATTGAATATCTCAAGCAATAATTGAGATATTTGACTTTACAAAAAACTTTAACCAAAATTTCTAAGTTAAAAAGGGGCATAATTCTGTCAATATTGTAGGCAGAGTTATCCAACTTGTCAATCTGATGTACCTTGTTACTATAAATAAGTATTGTAAGTTTCAATTGAATATCTCAAGTAATAATTGAGATATTTGACTTTACAAAAAACTTTAACCAACGCAGACGCGGACGCCGACGCGACTACAATAGCTCTCATATTCTTCGAATAGTCGAGCTAAAAACCAGAAATAAAGATACATGTATTTACAGTTTCATACACAACATCAGAAATTGATAAGTCAATAATATATTTATGAATCTATGACATGCACCTTTAACAGGATGCCTTCAATTACAAGAATTACGTGGTATATTATTCCGTGATATATACAGCAATTAAACAATGCACAAATTTAAAAGAAATTATGGTTTACAATGAAAAATAGACACTTACTTTCCCTTAGGTTCATAGATGAAATACACTGGGCCATTCGCTGCTAAAATAAACCAGATAAAAAGAATTACATTAGAAATCTTTTATGTAATAAATTCAAAATGATTTTCAAAACAGTTGTAACTTTCATTAAAAATAATTGCACAATATAATTTTCATTTGTTAAACAAGGGTGCCATAGTCACAAAATACGCCCGTTTACGAAAGCTTTAGATGGAGATGGGGGCATTATGGATAAGTGTTATCTAGCAAGCAAGTTTTTATTCTTGGCACTGTGTTGTTAAATGAACCTTAAAACAAATCAGTAGGGAAGATATGCACAGGATGTGTGACCTTGACCTTGGTTGCAGGGACCTGAATTTTATGCACGGCACTCAGCCTCACAATGATGAACATTTGTGCCAAATTATATTGAAATCCCTCTATACATGTGGAAGTTTTGCTCCGGACAAGCATTTTTCAATGAGCTCCAAGTGTGACCTTGACCGACCTGGTTCATGTGCGCAACACTGCTCCTCATAGTAGTGAACATTTCTATGAAGTTTCATGAAAATCCCTCCATACATGTAGGAGAGCTGAACTGATATTTACTTGAAAATTAAAATATAATTAAATTTCTATGAGAAAGTATTTACATTTGATAAGGTAATTACTGTATGATCTTTATGAACAAATACCAAGTCTACAGAACACCATAGTTATCACAGTTAAGAATCTTGACCAATGAATGAAACATGTGTAAATAAATGTTACATTCTTTAGAACATACTCAAGTCCAAGAAAGAGGATTATTTTAAATTCTATTTTTAGAATTGAAAGTGAAAGTAGATCAAGGGGAGTAATTGTGTAAGTCATTTATGAACAAAGTAATAACTTTGTTGTCCCCCTTTGATTAAATTCTATTTACAAAATCTGGATATTTCATCATCTTTAGTGACCTTGACCTTGTATATATTGACCTAAATTATATGTATCACAGCCATAGTCTTGATAATGACCATTTGTGTTACAATCCCTCAATAAATGATGACTAAATGGTCCATATACACATCTTCATATTTTTATCTGAACTTTGACCTCTAAGTGTGACCTTGACCTTGGCCGCAAGGACCTGAATCTTGCACGCGACATTCCGCCTCACAATGGTGAACATTTGTGCCAAGTAATATTGAAATCCCTCTATACATGTGGAAGTTTTGCTCCGGACAAGCATTTTTCAATGAGCTCTAAGTGTGACCTTGACCTTTGACCTAGAGACCTGGTTCATGTGCGCGACACTGCTCCTCATAGTGGTGAACATTTCTATGAAGTTTCATTAAAATCCCTCCATACATGTAGGAGATATGCTCCGGACAAAATTGGACGCCGCCCGCCAGGGGCGTTCCCATAATACGTCCCGTTTTTCAAACGGGCGTATAAAAATAAAGATAAGCAAAGTATAGTTTTTTACCAAAGACAAGCTCAACTTTAAACAAAGTCTAGCAACTTGTACTGATAATTTCGAGTCTGTTTCCTTAAACTAATCAGTTGTACTACTTGTGTAAAATGAACAATCATGATCTGACCATCAGTGCCTATGTTGGAGGCAAACAGTTTTTTTTGTTTGGTAACGTTTTACGTCGCAGCGATACAGTATAGGTCATATGGCAACTTTCCAGCTTTACCAGTGGAGGAAGACTTCATGTGCCCTTCTGTGCATTATTTCAGGCACAACCGAGATCCTGAGCAGAACAATCACTGTTCCGTAAGCTAGCTAGATAGCACTCTCGTGGAACATATAGAGTACTGTTGAAATGGCAACTATAATCTATTATCAGTAAAATTTACCTACAAGATATAAAATACCAAACTGTAACTTACGAATAGGTTCTAACTCCTTCTGAAGTTTGTCAGACAAGTCTTTGATGACAACTTCCTTGTTTTCAAGCATATGTACGAGGTCGACCCTCGTCACACTGATGAGACGTTTGTTCATGAACTGAATCACTGGCATTGTACTCTACAATCATGAACAAATACTTCAAAATGTGTGTACCTATTTTTATTACTACATTTACTATAACAAATAAATCATCCAAATGTATATCTTATAATTGGCCAGATGAATATATCACTATGTAATGGAAAAAAATGGGTTTACTATGTAATGGAAAAAAATGGGTTTTAATTTGGAATTGCCCTTTATTATTTCATGTGGCATTAAATTTGGGCAGCTTGTGGTGTAGCCTGGCTTGGTATGTGAGCTTGCCCAGCTCTAGTTTAATAGAGGGTAGGCCTAGTATTCTACAGCATTTTAAGACATACTTTTATATTTCAGCAACAGTAACCTTTTAAGTATTCACTGGTTGTGAAGCAGATTAAAAAAATTCTTTAACAAAATAAAAATCTTTATAACAAATCAAAAATCTTTAGAACAATTCAAACAGAAATGTATTTCAAATCAAGAAATAACTGTTCTTAAGGAATAGATTTAACACATAAAATCAAAACCTGTTTTTTGAAGATTCCTTCAAATAATCATTAAGGACTTCAAAAAATCACAAAGGAAAACTTATCAATATTGATTACAAAATAAAATCTATATCATTTTCAGGCTTTCTACTGCCTCTACCAAAAAAACTAGGGAAAAAGTAGGGCATTTTTTTACCAAAAAGTAGGGCAAAGTAGGGATTTCTGATGTTAAAAACTAGGGACAAAGTAGGAATTTCTTACCGTTTTAGTTAAGAATTAGCAAAACATACCATCACCAAGACCACACCAGGCTGTGTGTATCTTCAGTTCAGTCCATGCTTGAAAGACATGCACCTCATAGGCAGAATGTTGCTGAATGTTTTGCCAAGGCACCATGAGCAGAGCTGCATCAGTACTAAGGCTGTAGTACTTAAGTACCAGTTCCAGTACTTGCCAAGTTTTGCAGTACCATTTCCAGTACTAGTACTTGATTTTAGCTTGGTACTGCAGTACCAGTACTTTTTTGGGGGAAGTAATTAAGTACCAGTACTAATACTTTTATATATTCATCAAAGTTTGAATAAATACACAGTGTCATTCAAAATAATTGCAAACATTATTCCACAAAGAAATAAAATCATTAACTTTAAAGTTGATATTTCATTTTTACAACTTAAATGAACAAACATACTTTTTACAAACAATAATCATCATATATTCATGTCATATGTTATTGTTTTGTAACCGCAGTCAACTGTAATACAATGCAATAATCTTACATTTTAAACCCACCAGTCTTTTTGTTGCATTTTACACCTTCACACCTCTGTTCAATTTATACCAAAGTAAATAACTTTTTTATGGTGCTAACAATATCACTTGAAATATGATTATTTAGAATAGAAGTAATTTATTAGTGTTTATTTTGCTCTTTTTTTACTAGTAAATACAAAGTAATCAGATTGCAATAAGGATATTTTACCAGTAAAGAGTTATTGACTCTGTTTATCTCAATTTAATTTTACTTTAAGTCTTTGGTGCTTTTTTATGATGAATACTATGTTAACATTTGAAGGAATATTGCAGCAAATTATTTATAGATTTGATAACTTACTTTTTCACAAAAATAAAATAATACGTGAAATTTACAGCTTTACTTTATGAGTAAAAATAATGACATTTTTATCAAAACCAAAAATACTGCCTAGTAATGCAGTAGCAGTACCACTTTTTTAAGACAGTAATGCAGTACCAGTACTTGAGTAGTAGCAAAATTTTGTAAGAGTAATTCAGTATCAGTACCAGTACTTGCAAAATTGCTCCAGTATATACTGCAGTACTAGTACCAGTAATGCAGCTCTGACCATGAGTCTTTCAAGGGTGGACATCACAAGGAGACACTTACACACACCTGAACTATTAATCAATTGCAACTGAAATACAACTGAAATACCATTTTAAATATCTTCTTTTTTTCATTTCATTTCAAAATGAAAAAGTAGGGAAAATAGGGCTATTTCAGAAAAAAGTAGGGGAAAGTAGGGATCAAAAGAAAAAAGTAGGGAAAAGTAGGAAAAGTAGGGACCAGTAGAAAGCCTGCATTTTTAGACAGTAATTTACATTTTTATATTATTTTATGTTTTTTCAACATATATCATATATTACAGCACTCAAATTAGTTAACCTATCGACTTCCTATGTTATTCATTAAAGCTTACCTTAACATCCGTTTTGCCACCCTCAGCACATCTCATCATTAACATACCGCCACATTGAGCTTTGCTCTTTCTCTGTAAGTGTATTATTTTCAGTTTAAACAAACAAATTAAAAAAAAACATTCACATTGTTTTATAAGGGCTGTAAAATTAAATCAAAGTAACACCTTAACAATTCCGAGGACATGTGTGACATTTCTAGTGAGCACCTTCAGTGAAGTAAACAAGATACGAGGTTGCAAATAAACCTATTTTATGATGGGAAAGATATGAGGGTATTTTCCCGTCCCGTCCTGCTATCTCAAGAACTACTATAGGTATAGTGTTCAGAACTTCACACATCAGTGCAATACCACAATTCAACTATGTCAAGTTTCATCAAATCATGAATGGTCTAGCTTAAGTACTACAGAAGAATTCATGTGATACTAAGTCAAAAATTAAATATAGAGATAAATGAAACTTCCAAAAACAAATTAACAGATTCCTCCCTGTTTGTTTTATCTACGTATCTAATACATTTGTCAATGTAAGTTGTAAGACATCCTACAACTACAAATGTTACACAGATACCCCCTTATACACAGTTTTCTAAGTCTACGGACAGACAGCTTGATTTATGGATGACGGCAAATCTCCCCTTACCAAAGTCAAGCACAAAAAGTTATTTTAACATACTGTAAAATAATGTTTCTTGGCCCGATTGTTTGGAAAAGGAAGAGTTACCTTTCCAGACTGATAAGTAATATGGTGACTTATAGTGATATATACTTACAGCAACATCTGAGTTGAATCGAATGAGAGCTTTGACACTTTGGTTATAGAAGTAGAACAGAGTATATTTGCCATCCTGCACATACTTCAACATGTTGGGTAGTGGATTAACTTTCTTCAGATCAAACATATCTCTAAAATAATCAAACAAAAAATATAACAAATTACTGCCTGCAGTTCTTACCATCATTACAGGGATCGAAAACATTTTTTTTAGAGCTACTCACCCTGCAGGGCGAGTAGTTTCAAATTTCTACTTTGTCCTGAATGTTATACTACTAGTCCTGCATTTTGGGCACGATTCTCAAAATAAATCTTCTCAATGCAATATTACCTTGCCAATGCAAACAACCACTAGAAATTTTCATAATCAGTTTGTTAACACAAATTAAACAAACCAAAACCTGAAACAAAGCTTGTGTTTTAGGTTATGTATAAAATGCACGCTTTATATAGCATT